TTTAATATGAAAAAGTGTGAATTTACCATATTATCCTTATTAAATTAATAATTTCAATTCTTAATATTTACATTAACCAAGAGTATTTTCTGATATTTTGAATGTTTTGTGTCTTTTGCTATATATATATATATAGATAAATAAAGAAGACATGTGACAACTGTTTTCACATGTATAAGCATGACGCAATCATGCAGACAGGCTTCAGAATTGCTCAAAAATGTCTTTCCATTCTTCCTATTTTCGTTTCCCTTTCTACCCTTCTTTCCAGTGTAAACAAGAGAGGAACCCACCATTAAAATTGGCAGGGTCATTTGGGGCAAAAACTTTAACTGGCAGGGGGCATTTTGGACTCAAAAAACTATCTCTGCAAAATGCCAACCAAACCCACATCACCGCTTTTAATTTTTCCTCGGACCCACACGCATCTTCTGCTTCTTCTTCTTCTTTCTTCTTGTTTTGGTAAGAAATAAAGAAAATAATTCGAAAATAAGAAAGAAAAGAAAAAAAACAGGGGAGAAGGAAAGAGAGAGATATGGCGAGAAGACCGGACGAGGAATACGATTATTTGTTCAAAGTAGTATTAATCGGCGATTCGGGCGTAGGGAAATCGAACCTCCTCTCCCGATTTACTCGCAACGAGTTCTGCTTGGAGTCCAAGTCCACCATTGGCGTCGAGTTTGCCACCCGTACTCTCCAGGTCCACCATTTTTCTCTCTTTATTCCTGTAAATTTACACTATCTACACACCCACACACCCAATTTTGGTTGTATTTGTTACGAAACCGGATTTGATCTCGTTCTTTATGCTTTTTTTGGTTGAATTTGGATCTGGATTTTGTTAGAAATGCGCAAGTGAACTAGGATCTGGATTGGTTTTCAATTTGTATAATGTGAAATTGTTGCAGATCTGCTAGTTTTCTTGGTTATAGTAATCAGTTTGTTGAAATCTTGGCGAGGGATTCAATTTTGTGTTTTCTTCACTCTATTGAGGACCAAGCTCAATTTTTTGATCTGGTTACTGTTTATTTTGAAATCTAAGCGGAGCATATAGTTAGTTTATTATTATTCTTAGTTCAAGAATCGAACAATGTGGAATAAAGATGGAGTGTATTTTTACTGAAACAAGAGAAATTAATCAAGAGAAACAATGCGCATAGAATTGTTTATCTAATAGTGTTAGTGCTAATCAGTTTCTCTTTTGACGTGACATTTTATGTTGACACCAAATTTATATACCGGCCTTTAATTTTGAAAAACAAAGAAAGAAAAAAACTCAGTTTCCACTTTCGGAATACGAAAATTTTAGCTTCATAAAGATTCTGATTTAAACAGTTTTTTACACCTTTAAAGGAAACAGAAATACTAGAACAAACATTTAATAGCAAGATAAGCACTAGATTTAAAACCACTGCTAGGCTTGTCCCAGTGTAGTTTTCTTTTTGGTTTTCTCTTGGGCTTCGGCCCTCCTTGTAACCAAAAAAAAAAAACCACCTTCCCATCCCCAAAGACAAAAGAAGATATTGTCAACAAACTGCAAATACCAATACCTCCTGACACCCCAACCAATTGAAAGCCCCTCCATCCATATCCACTGAAAGGCCCTTTCCAATAGAGAGCTCTTCAAGGCTTTAGCACTCTCTCAGCTAACCGCTTGAAGCATAATGCCAGAGTAAGCAAAAAGGCTGATAAGGAATCACCCTGCCATAGGTTTTAGATGCTTCAAATTTCTCCCTTGGCCGTCCGTTCATCATCACCAAAAAATTCACAGATTTCAAATAATTTTGCATCACTCTCTTTATCTTTTGCCAAACCCTTTTGCTTCTAAAAGGCCATCTAAAATCCCTAGGTCAATCCAAAAAACCACCATTTGTTAAAATCCCTAGATGCTCAATCCTAAACCCTCTCGGTCCTTCCTCATATATGAATATGTATTAACATTCATGTATAAGTTGCTCAAGTTGCTTGTGTTGGAGATTCCTCTTCTTATGTTTCCCCAACTTTTTACCCAAGTTTAGAGATTATGTTCGTGCTTTTTGAACTTTCTAAATATTCTTCCCCAAGTTGTCCAAAGTTTGGATTGGTCGGGTTCATCCAACCAAAGTATCACCTCTATCGTCCACCACCTCATTTGCAATTAGAATCACGTCGAAAAGCTCTCCCTCGTGCAAAAGCATCCTGACTTGAGTGGATGAAAGGCAATATTCAAGCTTACACTTCATAAAGACTTGATACCTCAGTGATCCTCAATGATTATTTATCCATTACGCAACGCAAATACACAAATTTTCACATATTTTACAATACAAATACACAAAAGTTAACAATTTCCTCAGATTTTATCCTAATCTGTCATCTTCCACAATATTTTCCAGCTCTTGAGTTCTTGCCTTCAATTATCTTTTTAAGAACTGAGCTTTCCTGGTGTATTTTATTAAAAGATGAGTACTCATCTGTTCTCTTTGTCAGGTTGAGGGAAGAACTGTGAAAGCTCAGATATGGGACACAGCAGGACAGGAGCGATATAGAGCCATTACTAGTGCCTACTATAGAGGCGCCCTGGGAGCTCTACTTGTCTATGATGTAACAAAACCAACAACATTTGAGAATGTGAGCAGGTGGCTGAAGGAATTGAGAGACCATGCTGACTCAAACATTGTGATCATGATGATTGGGAACAAGACTGATCTGAAGCATCTACGTGCGGTTGCCACAGAAGATGCCCAGGGTTACGCCGAAAAAGAAGGCCTTTCATTTATTGAAACATCTGCTCTTGAAGCAATCAACGTTGAGAAGGCTTTCCAGACAATTCTTGCAGAGATATACCGGATTATTAGCAAGAAGTCTCTTTCATCAGATGAGCCAACACCTGCAAGCATTAAAGAAGGGAAGACTATTGCAGTCACTGGAGGATCAGAGGTCAATACAAAGAAGACTTGCTGTTCTTCATCCTGAAGATTAAGTTTTGAGTTTTCCTGTTTTTGTTGTCTTCCTCTTTCCGATTCTTCCATCTGTTTGTGGGTTATAATTTAAGCTCTTTTTTTTTTCTTTTTTTGTTGTTGCCCTTTTTGGCTTATTCCTTCCTCGTTTGAACTATAATTTGTTATCTGTTGCCCGGAATTTTTCCGTAAGGGGTATATTTCATTAGGTATATAGATGGATGGTACGTCGAACATGAAGCCTCAGGAGGTTTGGATTGTATTGTAGAAATACTTCACTGGTCGGAGCCAAAGTGATGTTTGCCCTTTTACACAGGAAGCTTTGCCTTCAAAATATGCTATTACAAACCGTTCTCAAGATTTTCTTTGTTTTGGACAAGTACCTGAACAAACTGATTTTTTTGGATTACCAACCCAGTTCTCCTTGTTCATTGTATGACTTCCATATAATATTGCAGTTGGTTTTCGTAACCCCAATTACCAATTTGAACCGAATGAAAGAAACCATCATGTGCATGAAGCACAACCTAACGTTTGGTGCCTAGCACTGGATTGAATTGCATAACTCACTCGATTCAAGGTAGCATGTTAATAGAAGTCCCACTTCTAAATTAAAAACCCTTCCAACCCTACCTTCATTTCTTACTCGGACTAATTAAATTTAGTTAAAAAATTTTGCGTTTATAATTAGGATCATTTTCCACTTCAGTGTCTACAGTTTCAACTTCATCAATTCACATCAACTTTGTTATCTTCATGTGACCTTCATGTGACCGGCATGTGGCATGGTTATAAACTAATTTTGACAACTATTGAGTTTGCAGGCATGTAGTACCCATCATCATCATCTAACTGTTCTAATTCGAATTTTCCACCTTCCTGCAGCGAGACTTCTTCCTTTCAATGGTCATAGTTGGTGTACCCATCATCATCATCTAACTGTTCTAATTCGAATTTTCCCATAGATAAGAATTCAAGCTAGGCAATATTTTACAAGTTTCTGAAACATCCACATGACAATTCAGTCAACACAGTTCCACTGTCTTGCAATTTTATAACAGATTTGATACTGGGAATGGCTAACCACAACAATTGCCATTCTGCTGAATCGGCTGACCCTTCATTTCAACAGTTCCGCTCGACTTGTTAGCTGTTGGTTGGCTGCCCATTCTGCAAAAGCAAAGAAAAAAAAAGTTACCAACTTAAGAGACTACTAGCAAGTAAAACCACAATCTAGTAAACAAATTGAAACCCAAAAAAAAAAAAAAATTACTGCAAAGGGGATGACTACATATTTACACATCTACCCCCTATCAACTCAAATGTCAATTATGAACCTCAACAAGATGTTTCTGAAATATCAGCCTCCTTTTCTTTTAGGGTAGTTGAAAGAAGAAACATGCAACATAGTTTTTACCCAGATATTTTACGATTATCTTTGGAGCAGAAATTCTGGGAGGGGAGTTTATAACAAGAAAGTCTCAAGCAAGTGATCATAGCATGAAAGAGTTGACTAGTGGTTTTACTTTTTCTTTATCTCGTTAGCCATTGTTAAGAAAGCCTGCTCAACATTGATGGAGTCTTTAGCACTTGTCTCGAGGAAAGGGATCCCAAGTTCATCAGCAAAAGCCTACAGCGAGTCAGTAAACACGAGAAACAAAAGTTAAGCCTCAGCAAGCAATTATCACAATTGTCAGTCTATATATGTTCAAAATTTACTTGAATTGCATTTGTAAGTACGTTCGGCAGCCAAATTGGCATCAACAACGAAGACAAATATCATTCTTATTCATAGACATCTTAATCAGCAAGATTATATTTTCATCAGTGCCAACCCTACATAATAACTGTCCCCAACTAAACAATTTATATACAATCTGAGGGTCATGAGGAGCATCTGACCAGAAAAGTATCCCCAGGAGCTTCAATCTGGAACACCCACTCTGATAATACGAAAACTTGGAGCTACACTTCTTCATATCAAAGAAGATTTTATATATGCCATTCTAATATGGACTAAAAATAACCAGAATATGGATTCTTTTCTAATTTGATAGTTGAAAACTGAAGCAAGGATTGAGTATTAATTCCATAGAAAATGGATCCCATTAGTCATACACAACAAAAGCACAGCAATTCCAACATGTAATACAGTGTTATTGACCATAACATAATGCAAAGCATGAAGTCAATCTTGAGGTCTGAAGTAACAAATTAGCAAGTCAAATATCCATTAAGTATGTGCAATGGAGTCATAATGGGACATGCATATAGATACAAAAGGTAAAACATAACAAACATGCCTGTAGCTTACCAATTTCATGGAACGGGTTTGATGCATTTAGGTGAGTGAGCATATTAATTGCCCAAAGAGTGCAGTCACCAAAATGAACATTTAAAGGGAAAAAACACAATTTTTACACTTTCTAAAATTGGATTGACAAATGTTCAGGCAACTAAACTACAATTTGTACCTTGGCCGTTTGTGTGTCAACAACCTTGTTCTCAACTAAATCACACTTATTTCCGACTAGAAGTTTGCACACACTGTCACTTGCATATCTGTCAATCTCATTCAGCCACTGCTTAACATTGTTGAAGCTCTCCATCTCAGTAACATCATAGACAATCTGTGGCAGTTCCAATAGAATTAAGACTCTTTCATACACAGGAAAAAGTGAACTCACACATATTATTTTGAGAAACTACCACTTCATCTTGCTCATCAATATAAGATACTAGTTTTTCCAATGGTGGTAAGATCCGAAAGTGACATAGTTAATGTTGCAGAATAGCTTCAAAAGATGTCACTTTCATCCACTACTGATTTTAACATAGAAAGGAAAGAAAGATAGTTAACATAACCTTTCACTCTTTGATTTAAAGAAAATAAAATATATACAGAGGTAACAGTAAGCTGCATCAACAATTATAACATTCTCAGGTAACCTGATAATGCAAATCAACTGCAGAAATTTAGTGAGCCCGCAAGTCCTTTACAAGGTCCATCCATGCTCTTTCACCATTCTTTCATCAAACCATGTGGTCATGCAGCAATACAATATAGAAACGTCCAACCCACTCACTTACCACTAATTTGCAACTTGTATTCCATACACATAATTCCAATGAAATTGGCATCATAAACTGATGAGATACTCATTCATTCATATCCAAAATTTCAATCTAAGAACTTTTCCAGTATAGTCATTCTAGCACTTGGCTTTAACAATTTCAAAGACCAAAACTTTCTGTCAACAAAATCAAGGTCCAATAAATATTCAGTTCATGTTCATGGACTAGAGCATAATCGCGGAAAGTAAATTTAAACTCAGATTAACAGTAGACTTACCATAGTTTATAATAAATAAAACAACTTCAGTTACACCAAAAGGCTTGAGAAAAATAAAAGCAAACATGCAAATCTTACAATTATCCCATGTGCTCCTCGGTAGTAACTGCTTGTTATAGTCCTGAATCGCTCCTGTCCAGCAGTATCCCACTAAATGACAGAAAAAGCAGCAACGTTAATTGCCAACAGAATGTTCATCTATCAGTGAGCAAGAGTAATTGAACATCCTGTTTAGTTTTTCATGAGGCATCACACATAACATTCCCTTGTCAATTTTGATACTTCTACTGATCTCTGTAGGAAAGACTCGGTTAACTTAAAAGGTTTAGATTTAGTTTTAGTTAGAACAATTCTTTCACAACGCATACATACAATTCGCAAATGTTTTGAAACAAAATGATTTCTAGTTAAGTTTAACTGTTCAACAAGAATTTCGTAAAGAAAAGGCATGCGAATAGAGAGCTAACAAAGTGCAGTTACATCCTAAGCTTATCAAATACTGAGAACAATGTCTACCAGAAATCCAAAATAGAAATAAAACCCTGCCAATTTATTTGAGACCCAAAATAGACCCATAACAATAGATTTCAATTTATCAAAGCATACATGCAAAACTAATTGCGCCCCCCATACCAAAAACAAGTATTTTCATTTAATACGACCAAAGGACCCATGTATTACACAGAGCAACTTCTACTCACAATCTGCAGCTTGACTGTCTTCCCATCCAACTCCACTGTTCTGATTTTCTGAAAATTGACAGAAAATGTCAGCAAATAAACCATAAACACCAAAGGTAAGTGCACAAATACATTTACATTTATATATACATAAACATAAATAAATGTAAAGATATATCTACTCACAAAATCAACTCCAATGGTGCTTATGTAGCTGTCTACATAGGAGTCATCCTGAAAGCAATAAATGAAATTAAAAGAAGTATTAATTTGAGCACTAATTATAGAAACATTAATCTCAAAACCCTAAAATTTCTTCACTGGGCTATTTCCATTATTATTGAAAAAGGAATAAAAAATAGCATAATTGTTATCTAAGGGAGAAACAGAAAAGGTGGAAGGAAGACACTCACAGCAAATCTGAGAAGCAAGCAAGATTTTCCAACGGACGAGTCCCCAATTAGCAAAAGCTTGAACAGATAATCGCTAAATACCAAAAATAAAAACAAAGATAAGAAAATCGTAAGATAATTTAGGCACGTGAAGAAAACTGAAAGAAAAGGGAGGGAAAATAAGAGAAAGGGGATGTTTGGGAAGAAGGAAAATAATTTAGCTTACTATTCGTTGCTCATGATTGATTGAGTTGCAGTCGGAAAATGTCGAGGGAGTTTTGGTTTTTGGGGCTTTCAACTTTAGAGGGAGAGAGAAAGAGAGAAGTTCTTTACCTCACCTCACCCGTCAAAGACTGGAGACTAGCTGTGCCTACGTCCCCACGCTAAAGTCGTAATTTAATTTAGTTTAATTTAATTCTTGCTATTTTTGGTCCGATTGCATTGTACCTTTGTACAAAGAAAATCACAATGATCAAACTTTAATTAACAAATCAACTACCAATAATAAAAGTGATCTCAAGTTCAAGTTATAAAATGAAGGGTTAATACTTTTTAGTTATTGAGTTTTACACGAAATTTTAATTTGGTAATTTAATTTTTTTTAACTAAATTGGTCACTAAATTATTCAAAGTTTATAATTTATAGATTTGTTGTTAGTTTCCATTAAGTTACTTGGTTAAATATATTTTTCGTCACTAAATTTTACCAAAAATTTCAATTTCATCTTTTTTTTTTTTTCTTTTTTTCGCCAAAGCCATGTAAATGTTGTCCTATGATATTGTAACTTTATTTAGAATTTTTTTTTCGGGGTGGAATTATGCTTGGAGCTTTTTTGAAGAGTGTTGACATGTCGTATATAATTTGACGCACAAGGGATGCTTGGCGTACCAACCCGATCACAGATGACCCAAAAGTGACATGTAGATTCACCTATGTGAATAATATGCTAGGGAATTGAGGAAGGGAGTCTGGGAGAGAGCTAACGAGAGCATAGATCGATTTTAGGGGAAAAAAACAGAAGTGTCAAAAAGGTGATATGTGGACAGTGGTTGATCCAGGATTCTCCAGCTAAAGAGTCACAATGTAAAAGTTTCGAATTTTTTTAAGAATAAAATAACACTTTTAAAACATAACATTATCAGTAAAAAAAAAACAATTACCAAAAGAAGGGGGGACTTAAAGCCTGACCCTAATTACAAGCATCACATCGATATCCAAGAAAAGTACATCCTATTTAAAGCATCTCTTAAACTTTTGGTAACGATAACATCTAAAAGAACAAACCAAGGTCAATCTACCTGCAGAAATAGTTAAAAATGTTCAACAATGACCCCATAAAGCTTCTTCACAATGCTATTTAGGAACCGATTAAAAACAATGCTCCATGGCAAGTTCAACAACAACGAGCCAAGAACACTCCAAAAACCGAACAGAAATCCTAGTCCCAAGCTCAGATAGAACCAACCGTCTTCAAGCAAATCACTTCCTCCGTGTTTCTGATCTGCTACCGGTGGCACTGTCCCGTTGGTATTACTGCAGTTCACTTCAAGTGGAGGGCCACAAAGTTTATTACCAATAAAACTGGATTGATCCAAACTCTGAAGTTGAGTACTTTTCGGAATCTCGCCTGTCAAATTGTTGTAGGACAAGTTCAAGGCACTGAGAAATGTCAAACGTGACATACTTGGAGCAATTTGACCACAAAGTTGATTCCTGGACAAATCAAGAGATTCTAACCTTCTCATATCACCAATCTTGGGAGGGATTCTTCCACTCAAAAGATTATAAGACAAATTCACCGACTGCAAGCAGATGAGGCTGCTAAGTTCTTCAGGGATTTCTCCAGAGATAATGTTGTCTGAAAGGTCCAAAATAATTGCCAAGCTAAGAAGACTGCTTCCATATTTCACTTCTCTGCCTTTTGTCACCACGTTTGCATTCTCTCTAAGCGAGTCTATAGGGAGGGTATTTTCTGAAGAGATGGTCATTGCTGTAAAATTGTGCAAACACCTTGGCATTCTTCCTGAGAGATTGTTATGTGCGAGGTCCAATATTTGGAGATATGTGAGATCGCAAAGCTTGTACGGAATGTGGCCATGAAACTGATTTGAACGAAGGCTGAGAACCCTCAAATTTGAAAGGCTTGTTCCAATCCACATTGGTATCTTTCCTAGAAACTTATTGTAACTAAGGTCAAGAATAGTCAAATATGTACATTTCTTTAGATATGGAGGCAACTCCCCATGCAAGTGATTTTTGCGCAAGTGCAAGTATTGGAGGGAGTGTAAGTAGCCCAAAGACCTTGGAATATTCCCAATTAAATTGTTGCTATCTAAATTTACAGCTGACAACTTTTTCCAGTTTCTGAGACACTCAGGAATTTTTCCAGATAGAAGATTGTTGCCCAGATGAAGAAATGAAAGTGCCTTTGGTTCACTATTATTATTACAGAAAAAGTGAAAGAGCGTTCCAGAAAACGATGAGTTGGAAAGATCTAGTAACCCCACTGTTGATGAAACAAGAGGTAATGAACCATTGAACTGGTTAGAACCTAGGAAAATTTCTGAAAACGGCGAACTGCGAAATATACGTACCTCACCATACAATTTATTTTCAGAGAGATCAATATACTCTAATTGGGAAGAAAAGTTCCACAACCAAGTCGGAATGGTACCTGAAATTCTTGTGTTGGGCATGCTAAGAACCCTCAACTGCGTTTGACTCTGAAGCCACATGGGCAATTCCGATGGCTCCAGATGCCAATAATCTAAAATCAACATTTCAAGTTGAAATGGAGGAAGCCAGTGTGGAGTAGTTTCAAGAGTCAATGAGTTTCCACGTGCGTCAAATTCCACCAATCTTGTAAGATTAGTGAAATGTAGTTGAGAGACAACACCTGTTAAATTATTATCACCAATACTCAAATATTCTAGGCAAGACAGATTGCCAAAGGACGGTGGAAGGGGACCGGATATTGAGTTATTAGAAAGATCAAGGTCGCGCAACTTTTCAAAATTATCAAGCTTATCTGTTAATTGGCCAGAAAGATTGTTCCCAAACAGATTCAATGACTCTATTTGACCTGAAGTACGCCTAGAAAAACTTTCAAAAATTTCTGACACGCTTCCATTGAGATAGTTCCACGAAATATCAAGATTGACAATGGATGTGAGGTTTCCAAGGGAAGACGAGATCTCACCATGAAAAAAATTGAAGGAAAGAATTAGGGACTGAAGATGGCTAAGCCTGTACAACCATTTAGGTATAGAACTGATAGAGTTGAGATCGAGATAAAGGAATTTAAGATTAGTCATGTTGGCAATACCACCAGGTATGTGATAAAGTCCACAACCAGACATATGCAAGTTCTCTACCAAAGACGGGCGTGTGTTTGTCACCCGCAACCAATCAGACGCTTTGCTAAGATTTGCACCACTCATGTCCAAGTGTTGCAATTGAGAAAGACCAGAAATCCATTGAAGGCTCTCAACCTCCCGTTCCGAATAATCGCCCAGATCAAGAACCTGTAGACTCGTTAGATTTCCCAATTGATGAGGAATTAATCCGACGAACGAGGAGTATGAGAGGTTAAGATATCTTAAACTTTTGAGAGAACCTAAGAAGCTAGGAATCTGCATTCCTTCAAAATGATTGTTGCTTAGATCCAAGTAGGTAAGATGCGTTAAATTGAGTAGAGATGGATTTATCTTACCACTGAAAGACGGGGTGAAAGGCATATATCCAGCAAGGTGAAGCTCGAGGACATGACCTGTTAAATTGTCGCAGACAACTCCCGCCCAATTGCAACAATCTCCTTCACCAGCCGAAGATGAAAGCTGATTTGAAGGATCTTCAAGATCGTGCTTAAACTTCAAAAGTGCTCGTCTCTCATTTTGTTTGCAAGGCGCACTCAGATTTGCATTGCATAATAATAAGCAAATGGTAAATAAGGTTGCAATGCTTAGAAACCTGACAACAGTGCTACCCATATTCATGAGCTAAATACTTACTCTGTGAGCAATAATGAGTCATCTACAGTGCTATTTATACATCTTTGGGGGAGAGGACGTGTCCAAACGGGATCTTCTCTTCTCACATAGAATAGAATATCATTTACTTTTCCCCTAATGCTAGATTTTTAGACCTTCTCTATTCTCTGCATGGCATGTGTTACTTCTCCTTCACTTAAATCAATGTTTTTAATTATAGAAAAAATATTTATTGTGCTTCCATATTTGTCCTTAATAAACCAGTCCAATTCTCCTATTTCTTTTATCATTGTGGAAAACACAAAAACTAATTCTTAAAGATAGAACAAAACTTAGACCCCAAAAAATATAGAAAAATAAAAAAATTGGATAAGTGTGGAAATATGAAATTTTAAAATAAAAAAAAATTAAAGTTGTGAACGCATAAACTAAGCGATAATGTAAATATTTGTTAGTTGCTTACACAACTTTGTAAATATTTGTTTGCTTACACAACTTTTTTATTGACTGTATTGTGGAGGACATTATCGCATTGCTTAAAAGATTTGAAGCGCACCAGTTCATGCTACTTTTAGATATGCAGATGGGGCTGCTCGTAGAGTATCACAATTATGCCCTACATAGAGGTGGCCCTGCGTTTGTTGTTTTTTTTTTTTTTTTTTTTTTTGGGGTATGATTTTTGCTTTATCTTTAAGAATTAGTTTTTGTGTTTTCCACGTTGATAAAAGAAACAGGAGAATTGGACTAGTTTATCAAGGGCAAATATGGAAACACAATTAATATTTTTTTTGTAATTAAAAACATTGATTTAAGTGAAAGAGAAGTGACACATGTCATGAAGAGAAGAGAGAAGGTTCAAAAGAGAAGGTTAGAGAGAAGGTTGTTAGCATTTCCCTTCAACTATTTTGTAACACATAATTTATCATTAAAGTCCTCTTTTCTCACGAGCTTGGAATGTTTTCAATGAAAAATAATTTTGATTGGTTGATAAACTTCAGATTGTCTTCATTTTGTCGTTGTAGGCCAATCAATGTGTTAAATATTAGTGCACACTTGTGTGGTAAAACTAGAAAATTTTAGAGAATTCTATTGTAATTGTAACTAGAGAATTCTAGAATTATAAGACTAACTGGTGGCTAAAAATGACTTTAGATAAGTCGGTTACTATGCAACCGACTTGTCCAAGCAAAATTGCCAACTTAGCATCTGTATAAATATGCCTACAGCCAACTCAAGTAATCAAGCTGAAAACTACAGCTGTCCTATATCTAAGGCCTTGTACCTTTCCTACTTCATTCTAATAAAACTACTTTGTTACCCTTTCAAAAGTTTTCCATTCCAAATTAAGCTATTGTCCTAAACACTAAACCAACCATTTCCTAAAA